AGCTTGCAAAGAAAATCCGGCTTTAAGTTAGGTTTATTTAGCGGATTAAACCGTATATTTCAACCTACATTCAATACAAATTTAACTTTAAAAATTTTATGCCGCTCTTGAAGTTCTGCGATTTTGCTTTTTTAGATGCTCAAGATTTAACTTAAAAATTCGCCGTTTTTGTTTTGTCTTAATGGAGTACTAGTGTCGTGATGGGACTTGATCTGAAATCGAAGCAACTTGATTAGTACAATTTACTAATATTCTGTGATTTTATTCTATTTCCAAGAACGTCCATAAGTTTGAGTTTCTCCCGCCATTCTTTGTTGATTCTAGGATTTAAAAGCGATAATAACTCGTTAAGTCTGCGTATTTTTATTTGCGTGTCACACCTGTGATGTCAAATTGTATCAATATTTTGCTACATTCCGGCAGCGAGTTCATATCCAAAACACCCATTGATGTGACAACAGAGATTAGAGTTGACAAGGATAACTAAGAAGCCAATACTGTTGAAAATTGGTCAAATACCTAGATGGAAATTGCCAGTATGCTGTTCTAGGCTATTATGCAGCAACATGGAGGATGCTGCTGCCTTTCGCATAATTGCATCTAATAGCTAATTAAATGACTGCCTGGACTATGCCGTAATATTATTCACTTATAATATTTTAAATATATATGTTATTAATTATAGTATAGGATAGTGTTACAACACTTATTTTAGCTTTTTCTTACAGTTTTGTAGTCCATAAGAGCTTAAGAAACTCGTGATAATCTAATACATCTTGCTGATCTCGATGCGGAGCCACATCGATTTTTAGGCTTGACGTTGAATATGCTGTGCTTGTTCCATTCGTCAGACTTTTGATGGATTGCTTCGTGGAAGAATGACACCAGTGGTTGGCCAAGTGTTCATTTGTAAGTTAGATCATGAATTAACTATCTTAGTTCATCATAGATTGTCAACCTTACTTTGTATTTTTTAAGACTGTGATGATCTTGAACATCAAATGATGCTCCTCCGTGCGTAATCACCTCGGTCAAGTTTAACACTATGGGGAGGAGTATTGTTTACGTTTTCTAAGTGAGATGTAGGAATCCTGGAAGTCCATCTATTTCATACGAAAAAGGTAAGAGTGGAATACGAGAGCCTTGAGCTTTGAGACTACTTTTTCTTATTTGTTACTTACCCTACTATTTTCCATATTCTTAAGTTTGTTTTGTTTTTCTTTATCTTTAATAAAGAGGGTTATTCGTCGAATTTGAATAAACTGTGCAAGCTGATGGCGAATGGCAATTTTTCAAAAAAGCAACAGATGTGCCTTTTGCTTTCACGAATAAACTGATAGGAAGCTCTTAACAATACTTCTTCTTCCCACTTACATTAGCTTACAGCGAAAATATCCCGTATGAAGAATTACCAAAGCCTAATCTACATAATTCGTTTTGGGAATTTGACGTCAGTTCAAATGAATTTTGTGTATGTGTTCTTGGTTTACTCAAGGTCTTGCTAATATCACTTTTCTCTCCCCATACTTTCTTTATGAACGCTAACTTGAATCACATTCTGTCTCCTTTCTTTCTAGCTAAAACATGTTTCAACCATTGGTAATTACATTTGTTAGTGCGAAGGTAGGGTCATAGTACGCCATGAAAAAGTGTTATAGATCCTTCATTGATGAGACCAATAACATAAAATAATATTCAAATACAGTGACTAAGTGTAAAATAAATGAGACCGTGAAATGATCATGTTAACAAACACGAACGATATGCACAAAACTAGCTTATTTGCTAGAAGTATACTTGGTGACAGCTTTCGTACCTTCGGACACGGCGTGTTTGGCCAACTCTCCAGGTAGAATCAGACGAACTGCGGTTTGAATTTCGCGAGAAGAGATCGTGGAACGTTTATTGTAGTGCGCAAGTCGTGAAGCTTCAGCAGCAATACGCTCAAAAACGTCGTTGACAAATGAATTCATAATAGACATAGCTTTGGATGAGACTCCAGTGTCGGGATGGACTTGTTTGAGGACGCGATAAATGTAGACCGAATAGCTTTCCTTTCTTCGGTTCTTCTTCTTCTTGTCTCCACCACGACCAATCTTCTGACTTTTGGCGGCCTTCTTAGCTCCTTTAGCTGGTGGCTTAGGTGGCATGTTAGTAGAATTCAGAAGTAGTTGGATGCGTTAGTGTAGCTGAGTGAAGGGAGGCGTGCATGTTGTCTCCTGTACTTTTCCATGGCGCCCCGCAAACGTGCCCCGCCCCAAGCT